GGGCCAGGCCGTCCAGGGGCAGCGGCTCTTCCTGGCAGCCCCGCTGACCTGCAGCAGCCCCGGGAGCAACGTGCAGGACCCGCAGACAGGGTGTCATTAAAAAGCAGCACCCTGTTCAAACGAGGCCGCCACGCAGACTGCCTCACCTGGTCCTAATGCCATCCACACCACATACATTCTGACCAATATTCTCATCTAATAATATTAAACTCCTTTATGGCAGTCAGAAAACAGCTACCCTGCCTGCAGACTGTTAGCAGTGCTGGCCTCTGTCAATGAATATTTTAAAACAGGCACTTGGGGAAGTGCCTTGATTAACTCCAGTTAAGTGGTTTTGGTTTTCTCTCTAGGCCATCAGGTGTACGGCTGGCTATTAGCAGCACAAGCGTCGCCGAAAGCACTTAGCAGGAAAAAGCTCTAGAGGCACCGACACAAACCAAGCCCTGCGCTGCAAACAGTTTTATTACAGAAATCCCAGACCGCTTTACAAACATTCATGCTGTGATGCCACGGTGAAGCACGTCGTGAAGCACAGGAAAATTTGGAGTCGGGGGCACTCGGCTGTATCACGTTGATGGTTTGTGGCAGACGAACAGAAGGGCCAAGCAGAGCAACAGGTCCTTTATCCTCTCTTCCACGTGACGAGAGAAATGACTCCTGAGCGTCTGTTTTCCACCCAGAACCGAAGGGCTCCCGCTTGAGCAAGGGGATGAATAGCCTCCTGCTTCAGAGGGGCGACATGCACCAGAGGAGGACTCGAAGCCCAGAGCCCGCTTTGCGTGAGGGTGGAACGTGTGTGCTGCCTCCAGCCACTGCCCCTGCAGCCCGTATCCCAGGGCAGCGCATCCCGGGACGTGAAGCCAGGCATTGCTCAGCTGTGCACAGCTCGACCGCAGACCTTGAGCACGGGCCCCTCTCAGCGCAGCTCCATGGCACCAGTTTGTCCTTTGGGATTCTCCCTCACAGGCGCCTCAGCTCCCCCACGCTGCCCCTCCTCCCCAGGGACCGCTGAACCACCCCTCACATTAGCACTTAGCTCGTTAATTAACTCCTATGAACTCGACCAGCACCAGTGGCTGGGCAGGGACTTCCTGGATCAGAACCCAAACTCCAGTATCTCCCGTACAGGACTACGTAGCCCTTCGCTTCCAGCACCCTGCCCTCCTCCTCCTCCGGCTGGCGTGTGGCAGGAGCCGCCTGCTCCGCGCTTGGGCAAACAAAATTGTTCATGTCTCGGCTCGCAGAACAAGTTCTGCTCCCTGCGCGTCCTGCAGCACGCGCTCAGGCACCTGCTCCAGGGCAGTGCTCTGCACTGGTCACCAGCACGGCACAGGTGCCCTCAAGGCTTAAGCGCTTTGAGGCTGCCCTTCCTTGCTCTAAGAGCAGGTACCTGCCGCTCCGTGCACGCCGGCCGCCCAGCCCGCTCCTCCGCCACCCTCTTCCAGCTGGCGCCTGCCCACGACTCCCGGAGCACCCAAACTAAGGTGCTGCTGTGACTAACAGCCCTCATCGTCCGCCCCCGGGCACTGCTTCCTACTCACGCTGCTATCAGCTTGGGAAAAATAAATATATTTATATACACACACACACACACACACGGCTGCAGCAATACAGTATTTCTGTAAGGAGATACCATTTTGTAACAAATTACTCCCTTTGTCACCATATACAAGCGCTACGCATGCCAGCAAGCTGCACTGAAAACCTCAATCTGCTCCTCTCACCCAGGCACAGATGCTGGAATCCAACCTGGAATTTAAACCATCCGGGCATGCTCCAGCGTGGAGGCTCTTTCCCTGACACGCAGCAGCAGCCTCCAGAGCTGTTTTTGAAAACAAAACATACATATTTATACAAATACCCCATTTAACCATTAATATAACCCTCCACTCCGAGTTCACTGGGGTAGTCCCTATGAACTGGCAATCTGCTTACTAGAGATTCTTCTACGTAAGGGCTGATTATTAATTCACTGTCAATTTAACCCATATCCAAACATAATCAGCTATTTCACCAACTAACTGGAAATATTTGTGTACTTAAGGTGTTTATACAACTCCTACCCTTGATAGCGCAGCCTGGAGCTGAGCAAACCCAGTGACACTGTTACCTGCCACCTACGCTATCCAGTAATGGTTTAATGATTACAGCTGGGTGACCCTGTGCTCAGCGCCTGTTCCTCGATAACCTGCAGGCTAAATTTAATGCTAATTTCCAAATGGAAAGCATTCAAAGGTTAAGATTCTTATCAACAAATGATGACAACCATGCATGTTTTTTTAAAAATTTTATTTGTCAAAGAAAAAAGGCAATAGCCAATTGAAAACCTACTTAATCTTTAACTCCAATTTTGACTTTAAATTTAGAGAAACGACTTATTGATTTACTTTTTACTTTTTTAAACAACCCCCCCTTTTCCCCTTTAATGTTTACCATCTACTCGTGCTGAATCCTTCCAAGGAGATTGCTCCAGCGTACCTCTCCAGGTCCTCGCTTTGCTCCTTTTACCAAAAAATGAAAAACTCCATCGTGCATCTTAAGGGCTCCAATCGTCAAAAATAGGAAAAAAAAGATTCTTTGGAATAGCCAATTGAGTTGAATAAAAAGATATCCACACGAATGCGGTTTGGTTGGGGCAGGAATCCACTCCTATGTTCCTGGTAATTTGATCCCGCTCCATGAATCCTTGTAATTCAGCCTCCCTATCCTATCCACATTATGATTTGAATCCAATGATCCAGCTCCAAGGATTGGGATCCAGTGAGCCCTCTCCAATCCAAACCTTTATAACCAGCAAAACCAAAAAAGAGGAGGCAAAAAGTTAGATACTGTAATGAAAAAATAGGATTCTGGGGAATGATCAGTTATGTTTGCCATCAATTAATAAAGATGTACATTAATAACTATCAATTCCCCAAAGCAAACTTTTGAATGGTGATGCTCAGATAACTTCTAGAAATGTTAATTATTACTTGGAGGAAACATTGTAATATTTACATATGTCAACTGAAAATGCCAACATACTCATTGCTTGTACGGTGTTGCGCTACAGGTTTTGTGGTTGCAAAAAATGTTTATGAAATCAGAAAAGTTTACTGCTAAAGCTATCCGCCTACTGTATGTCTAAACTATAGCTAGTACTCCCGTTTGGAAGGTAACAAAATTAACTAACTGAAGTTTTCAAATACACTGGTGAGTCAATTCTGAATTAGTCTGAGGGGAAGGGCTGAGACTTAAGAAATTATTCCCATCTATGTTTTCTATTTTGCTTTCATTCTGGTATTTAAAAATAAAAATGAAATAGCAACGCTGTATCAGTCACACAGAGGACATGCAGACTTTAGCAGTATTGATATTATACTCTGATTTGAAGATACCCTTTATCTACAAGTGTAGAAATACTACATAACATTAACACTTGTAACCAAATGCTGCATGACAAAGTAAACCAGCATTCCCACCCCGTCCCAGTTAATTATTCCTTTAAAAAACTAGAATGGAATAGAGAATTACAAAAGCAAGTATTTAGCCACAATTGCCCCCAAAAAAGAAGTTCTTAAAGAAAAGAGCAATTGTAGTCTGCAGTAACTAAAACATGCCTGAAGTGACAAGCAGGTGCATGTACTCAATTAACCTGTCTCTCAGTATAAGGTCAATACTGCCAATTTCATCTGTGACAATAGCACTTGGAGTCATACCATTGCCTCCATTATTGATCTGATCCTCCTCAATCCTCCTTTTGACAATCCTAAAATGATTGACATGTGCTCCACAATCCTTTAATCCAAAGCATTCTTAATCCATCTCTTCAGATATGTCTACAGAAAGACACACGAAAAGGCAAGATAAAATATAAGATCCCCCAGAAGAGACAAGTTAGCCACAAACATCCCAACATCCCCAGCTTGTATAAGCCATAGCCGAACACTGAGACATTTACACAGCAATACCACAGACTGAAGAATGTTGGTATTAACTAGAACTAAATTGGAATAGTCCTGACTGACATCAATTAAAATACAGTTTATCGAAGACATGAGGGGAATGTTGATGTTAAGGAGCAAATACTCACTAGGAATTTTACACAAGAATGCAATTCAACACTTCAGCCAATTTGAATAAAACAGTTTGAATTAAAAAAAAAAAAAAGAAAAAAGAAAAAAAAACTCTACTGAATAAAGGAAAACTGTGTACAACATGGGGTTCTACAAAAAAGATCATTGCTAGTGATCATTTATGTACGAGAACGGGATCTGCTGTGACGGGGAGAGTAGCGTGGAGATCCTCTGCTTCTTCTTGGGGAATAACTGCGGCTTCTGCTGTTGCTTCGACTACGGCTTCTGCTACGACTACGGCTGCGTGACCGAGATCTTCCATAGCTTGGACTTCTTGGACCATCAACTTTAACACGGATGTAGGCAGTTTCTCCCTATTGAATAGACAGAACTTTCGATTGAAGGGTCTAGGCTTTAGGCCATTGTTTTAGGCATGCTGACAGATCCAAGATACTGTTTATCAAAGCACAGAAACAGACATCGAGTCTTCGAAGTCTAGTTAACAATACACTGGCTACGGGCTTAGCTTGGGTGCTCTGTGTGTTAGATACGACGGCAACCACACGTTCTTACCTTCAAATCCTATTGTTAAGCCCTTTGTATCCAATTCTGGCCCCAAAATAAGCATGAAACCTACCTCATGAGATCTAAATTTAGTGTTATCCAGTTTTCGCACAGCGTAGGTCATATCTTCCTTCCGTACAAACTCCACGACACCAGTGCCATCTCGGAAAACATCAGCATAACATACATCACCTGCTTCACGCATGTGATCCTTTAAATCCTGCCAACTTCCACTTGGAGGCAGCCCTGAATAGAAAGCAGTGTATTACTTTAAAGATGAACTGTATTAGCATCTCCTTTAAATACGGCAACATGTGGCAGCAGGTCACAGCAAGCAGAAGAGGGACGAGTTAGCACGGGGAGAGGCTGCCTGGAGAAGCTGCTAGCACGGCACAGCGCGCGCATCCTCCAGGCCACCCGAGGTGATGCTTTTTAGGAAGCCGAACGCAGAGAGTCATCACGGCGCCACGCGGAAACCGTGCGGCGGGGAGCACGCGCCGGGGGAAAGCGGTTCATCTGAAGAGAAACGACTCACCCGAGACGATGACTCTGTACTCGGAGCGCCGGGACGGGGGCCCGTACCTGCCCCGGGGGGCGCCCCCGCCGCCGCCCCCGCCGCCGCCTCTGCCGGTGCCGCGGCCGCTGCGCGGGAACTCCACGCGGAGGCGATACCCGTCGTAGTCGTAGCCGTCCCGCCCGTACACGGCGTCCTCCGCGTCCCTGCGGGCCGCACGGGCGGTGAGCGCGGCCCGCGCCGCCCTCGCGCCGCCCCCCCCGCCTTTGTTCCCGCTTCCCGCCCGCCCCACCCCGCGCTCCCGCCTCCCCCCCACGCGCGGGGCCGCCTCGCTGAACGGCTCACGAGGGCGAGACGGGGCCGCGCCGCGCGGGCCCCCGCGAGGGCTGCGACAGGCGCCAGCAGCGGGGACACGCGTGGGGAAACAGCCCTCCCCGCGGCACCCGCCTCCCCCCCACAAGGGCCTTACCGCGGGTCCTCGAACTCCACGAAGGCGAAGGGCGGCCCGCCGCGGCGGTTCTTGAGGTCGATATCGCGGATGGCGCCGTACTTGTAGAACACGTCCTCGATGTCCTTGGTGCGGATGTCGGGGGGCAGGTTCCCCACGTAGATGCGGCAGTCGTTGTTGCCGGCCGGGCCGCGGATCACGCCCCCTCCGGACATGGCAAGGTCGGCAATGGCTGCGGCGGTGGAGAGCCGGAGCTCAGCGCGCGGACGGGGCGGCGGGCGCGGGGGCCGGGCCGGGCTCACGGGAGCGCACGCACGACGCCTCCCACAGCGACCGCTTCAAAATGGCGACCGCGGCTCCCCTCGCGCTCCTCCTGCGCGCAGCGGTCCCGCGCCGGGCGGAGCACTGCCTGCGCCGCCCAACGTCGCACGGCGAAGCGGCTCCTTCCGCGCTCGCACGCCCTCTCTTGCGCATGCGCAGAGCTGGGGAGAAAAATAGTCCCTCTATTGTTTGTCCCCGGTGGGGCTCCTAAGCGGCTGGGGCGGCTCCGGTAGTGCGCTGCTGCGGTCGGGATTGCACCGCGCTGGGTGCTTCCTCCGGGAGCGCCAGCTCTCACGCCTACGGGGAGGGCCGCGGCAATGGCAGCAGCTCTCACGGCGGCAGGCCCGCGGCGCCACTTCCGGTGCGGAGTCTACGCCAAGAAGGCCCGGCAGGGGAGGGGCGTGTCCCAGCATGCAGCGCGCGGCGGGGCCGCTTGGCGCCAAGGAGCGGGCCGCGCCCCACAATGCACTGCGGCCGCGCGTGGGGAGGGGGGCGGTGGGAGCGCCGCGGGGGGCGGGAGGCGGCAGGAGCGGCGGGGCCGGGACCAGGATCGGGATCGGGGCCAGGATCGGGGCCAGGATCGGGGCCAGGACCCAGGGAGCCGCCGCGGTGCTTCCTGCGGCGGCAGGGGGGACAGGGAGCCCCTCAGGGGCCATGGGACCGGGGCCGCCCGCCTGGCGGGGGCGGCGCTGGCCCCGCGGCCGCTGCGTCGCGCTGAGGTAAAATGGCCGCCCGGAGCTCGGGCCGGGGCGCTGCTGAGCGGCCGCCCCGCCGCCCTGCCCCGGCGAGCACGGCGGGCTCGGCCCCCGAGCCGCCGCAGCCTTGTCTCTTAGGAGAACGCACCAGAGCCCCAGCGCTGTAACGTGGAGACTCGGAGCACGAGGGACCTCAAAAACATACATACCTGGGTGCATACTTGGTAGTCAAAGTAATGAAAGGGAGCCTGAAGAGCTTTTGGGAACAGAGGAAGTTTAGGTCTCGAACAGGCACACGTTGGGACTGGGATCCTTGGATTACGTGCTGCTGTGGGAGTGTGTGGAATGTGGGAATACTGTGTAGGGAATACTGAGAAATGTGTGCGAGAGAAGGGAGAAGCCAAAGTCCTGCAGAAGAGGCAGAACAAACAAAATAAAAAATGACAGTAACGTCCACAAGGTTGTAACGTGCATTGAGTCACTCTAAATACCAGTATATTCACTGTGTCGCTGAGTCCTGAAAGAGCCGTTAGGGCAGCAGCTGTTACTGCTCCAACACAGCTGCTTCCTAGGGAAGATGCCATGAGATCATCCAAATTTCAGCTTAAAAAAGAAAAAAAAGGCCCACATTTTGGGCAGTAGCTCGTCTTTGGTGGCTGCGGCTGTGTTGAGATACGTGTTTTCCGAAGGCCCCCTTCAAGAATGTCCTGGGGAACTTGCCCGGCTGTCAACGGATGCCCCCGAGGCAGCTGCGATGGTGCTGCCCGCCCTGCGGATCCTGTATTTGTCCTGCTGCGGTTTCTTCATGTGCATCCGCATGGGGCAGGGAGGCGGCCGCTCTAGCTGCAGCAGTGGGGTCTGAGAACACAGAAAAACCCTTTGGGCTCCACAGCTAATGAGGGGAATTAGAAAAATGTGTTTCTTTAGTAGCGCTTGGCATGCATGCTGCATTTTGCATGGGCTAATTAAAAATGTATATTCCTCCAGAAAAAAATTTAAAAAGGCAATCCTAATGACTTAGAAAAATATTTGCAGTATGATGTGATGTGTTTTACTATTACAAATGCCTTTCATTTCTCCCTCATGTAGGTCAAAGTACAGTAATATATTCTGCTCTAAGGATTTTTAACGTTGGTAATAAATGTGTTAGATTGCTAGTGGTTTAAATAAAAGACTATTATTAATCATTGAAAGATGTTTCAAGAAAGGCCATCCTCAAAAGTCGTGGTTTACTGAAGTATAAACTACCAACTATCTAGGGAGTTTCTACGTCTTATGGAGAACATGACGGTTTCATGACTCTGAACCAGAATATAAACTGCTCAAGCAGAGACCATAGTACCCAGCTGGTTCTAGGGTTCACCTGGAGGTGAGTTCACTGGATATATTTGGTAAATATATGATTTGAACCAGCATAATTTAATGATCTGATTTAGTCGTTTTCCAAATCAGTAGAAATGCTTAGTGCATATTAAAAAAAATAATAAAAAAAATCCCCTTTCCCCCAAACTGAGACCATATTCTTTCTGCTATAGATGCAGCTCCATCCTTTGCCAAAAAAAAAAAAAAATCATTTTTAAAAGCTTAATTGCTGAAAGTTGCTCTTTAAGGCATCATAAAATAGTAGTAAGTCTGCCTAGTTTGCTAAAACCCCATTGCCTAATTTGTGTGTTAATAATCCTCATAACTACTTTAAATGATTGCCTTAATTACCGTAATGAAGCATCTCTTTATAGAATTATTGAATATTTTCTTTCTCATTACATTTTTGGGTTTTGTGTTATCAACAGATAGCTTTAAAACAGTTGGATAAGCTGCAAAACATGTTTGCTCTGTCAGAGTCAGTTTTGGCTTTCTGGCAAAATGTGCATGTGGAGAATCATTAAACATACTAATTATACAGAAAATAAATTACTGGGAGGGCAAGGGCAAATAGCCTTGCAAAGAGGCTGACTGCTCTCCAAAACCCGCTTTCGTTTCCAAAATGAGGGTACCGAGACGCCTGGTTTCCAATGGAAGGGCACCACAGCTGCCTTGGGCGCTCTCGGCCGCACAGTCGGCCCGGGTGCTCTTAGCCTGCTCTGGATGCGCTGTATGGAGAGAGGAGACGTTTCCTACGGCCCTTCCTGGCCTCCTCACGGCTCTCCTCCTCTCCCGCTCATTCCCAGGAGCTTCCTGCTGTGTTAAAACCCCACAAACGCCTGTGCCAGTGCCAGAGATGGGTCTTTTTATGCAAATAAAATACTAAAATGCTGTATAGTACTGAAATACGTGGCTTGTGTCCTTGGAGTTTGGAATATGGAGCTGTGGGACACCTGCCGTGGCTCCTACCTAGTCCTGGGAATCCTGCGCTCCAAACCTTCCCACTTCAACTACGGCAAACTTGTCCTGTCGGCTCACCCGCTGCAGCGTAGACCCCATCGCACGGGGCGAGCGTTGAAGCCAATTCATTACCAAAGAGAGCTGAACAGCTGTGAAAATAATTCCTGCGGAGTGGGAATGTGGGATCCCTCTGGGAATTCCGGCACAACCTGCAAAATCCGCGGCAGGGCTGGTTGGAGCGCGGGGCCGGCGGTGCCTGCCCGGTGCGGAGCGGAGCCGTCCGCACAGCCGCCCCGCGGGACTCTGTTGGCACCCGACGTCATTTCGTGAAATGATGCTCCTCTTTATTTTTCGTGCATAACAACAGCCCTGCCATTAGAGCTATTACGTGTGATTTCCTCGGAAACGCAGTAATTGCAGCGTTTCTGAAGCCGCCTGGTGAGGTCTCACACGGGGAGCGTGGAAACCAGCCCCGCGTGGCTGCGGGGCCGTGGGCTCGACCCCGCGCTGGCTCTGAGCAACCCAGGAGGAGATAGCTATTAAATCACCTATCTTTCTTTGCCTTGCTAATGCAGTTAAACGTGTTTAAGTTTTGCTTCGGTTTGTTTCGGTTTTGTTTTGGTTTGTTTTGCCTTCCGTATCACACTGATTTTGGTGCAGAGTCCTGGACCACCTTTGGTTCCCACGTGCAAACACGCGGCGCTGGCAGGGGCTGGCACAGAAGGAAGAGTTCAAACGACCCCTCCCAGCCAGTTTTAACTGATTTCTTCTCCCAGGAAAACACTTATATTCCTGACGGGCTCTGCGGGCTGCTCCTTGTGCTGCGCCGGGGGTTCTCCGGGTTCCCCAGGGCCCGGCCCGCGTCGCCACCGCTGCTCTTGGCTGCTGGCAGCGAGCGCAGGAGGAGCAAGGGGCTGCTCTGCGGGAGGACGGGCCCCAGGCTCCTCCGGCGGCGGATTAGGCGTAGGCAGAGCAGCCTCGAGCGCTGCTTTAATTAAAACAAAATCCCCCGCGGGCCCTTAAACCCGGCGAGGTCTTGTCAACTTCAGGGCCGTATAAAACGTCCGTTTATCGATGGTGTCAAGTGCTGCAGCTCCTTCCATGGAGCCAGAGAGAGCTTTAGTGCGTGACGGGCCGAAGGGCACCGGGCACCGCGTCGCCGCCAGCTCGGACAGACAGACAGACAGGCAGACGCCTCCCGGGCCCTTGGCTGAGCAGCTCCTGGCTCGAGGCCGGCAGGCCCTATCTAGGTCACTTGGGAGCTCTGCAGCCTCCAACGCAGACGGGTGAGGGAGCAGTGCGAGCAGCTCAGCAGCTGGACGTGGCCGCTGGCACCGCGGGGCCAGGGTGCACAGGGACCACCAGGACAACAGGACACATGGAGCAGCCGGGACAGCCCAGCCAGGGACAGCCAGGACAACTGGGACAGGCAGGAACAGCCAGGGCGGCTGGGACAGCTGGGACAACAGGAAACCAGGCCATCAAGGAGAGCAGGGACAAGTGGGACAACCAGGACAGCCCGGGCTGCCAGGAGAGCCGGGGCAACGAGGACAGCGGGGAAAGGCTGGAGAGCAGACGTGGCACAAAGGAACGCGTGCCCGTGCCGCCCTTCGGCACGTCGCCCCGGCTGCTGGAATAGCCAGCACGATCACAGAGCCAGCGTGCATGCACGCAGGCATGCAGGCATGCAGCAGCACCCACAGCAGTGCAGCAGCAGCCCCTCGTCGCACACACGAGCCCTCACCCCGCACGGCCCGTGCACGAGCTCCCGGCCCTCCTCGGCCTGCAAACGAGCCCCGCGCGCAGGGCTGCCTGCCCGGGGCGGCCAGCACGGCCACCAGCAGCCGCAATCAATGGGCAATAAATTAAATAAAGTTCCCGAATAGCTTGGTGTGGGTTTGACAGGACTTTTCCTTTGCTTTCCTGTGTATGCTCCCGATCCCTCTTCCAGTTCAGGAGGGACCAGCTGGAGGCCGCCAGCTCTCCCGGCGTGCGGCTGCTCCCAGGATCCCGGCCAGGGGCTGCGGGCCCGGCCGTGGCTCCCGGCCCTCGCTCCGGCCGCTGCGGCCCTGCCCAGTCCCCAGCACGGCGCAGGCAGATATTTCTAAGCAGGGATCCTATGTGAAGCGCCAGCCCCTCGCAAAGCCTCGCAGAGCGCCCATGACCTGAATCCATATTAATGACGCCTGCAAGTCATTTAGTATTAAAGAGTCCTGTGCCAGCTCGCGGGCTGCTGGGAGCGGCTGGAGCGGCCCGAGGGTGGCATCGTTCGGGGCTGAAAGGCCCATTTTCAGGTCGGGCAGGGGGTGCCATTCCTGGGGTCACAGTGCTGAGTGCCAGGAATGGAGAATCCCTGCAGTGCAAACGTGTCACCACCGCGGTGTGGCGAATGCTGAGCCCCAGCCCGGGCGGCAGAAATGGGCGCGGAGGGACTGCTCACGGGGATGGAGCCTGTGGGGGACGGGTTTGGCAGGGCTCCCTCCTGCCGGTACCACTCCGGTTTATTGCGGAGCTGTGGCCGGAGCAGGCAGCACGCAGAGCGCTGCAGAAAGGGAGCGTTTTGTGCTGGAAAACCCCCTGCCAGGCCCCCTGTAGAGCAGCCGGGAGCGCGTGCGAGGAGGCGCCTCTCGTCTCGTCCCCGTGCCGGCTCCCTGCGGGGCTGCTGCTCCCTGCGCCGCGGCGGCCGCCCTGCTCCCGGCGCCCAGGACGTGGGGCCCCGCGCAGCGTCCGCGCGGCTCGAGAGCCGCCAGCGCCAGGGCTATAAATAGCGGGGCCGGCGGGGAGCCCGCGCGAGCCGGCCGCCGCTCGGCTGCCCGTGTCACCAGCAGCAGGGACACAGAGCGGGGAGAGCGCGGGGCTGAATCAGGCCCGAGCACAGAGGCTTTATCCTCCCTTTTGTCCTTGGCTCGGCTTCTGTGCGCACGTGACGCGCGCGGAGCGGCCCGGGCCCCGCTCCTGTCCTGCGCACACGGGCAGACGCGCGCCGACCCCGGCCACGCGGGCGGCAACGGCGCCTTGCTGCTCTCAGGTGTGACACACACGCTCACCGAGGGCCACCTCTGCCCCACGGTGCCGCTCGCAGGCGCTCGCTCCTCTGCTGAGCCCTCAGCACGAGCGGCAGCGCCGCCGCCACCCTCGCGGGGCTGCTGCAGGGTGCGGGACAGGCACGGCCGTGGTCGGCCCAGGGGCAGGATGGTTGTCACAGTGTCGCCCGCGGGAGGGCTGTCCCTGTCACCCGCGGGAGGGCTGTCCCTGTCACCCCCCCCAAGCGCTGTCCCCTTGTGTCCCGGTGCCACGCAGGGCTGTGGCAGCGTGTGGGGCTCTGTGGTGACACCCACGCCCAGCAGCCCCCCAGGTTTGGCACCGGAGTGGCCCAAGGGCGGTCCCAGCACCCAGGGGGACGTGTGGGGACCCTGGGCACAAGGACTGCGCCCCAGGGGTGTAACCTCCCCCCAAGGGACTGTCCCCCCAGGGAGCCGCCCCCAAGGCAGCGCTGGGCCGGGTCCCTCTGTCAACGTCCCCAGGGGGTCAGAGCCCCCCAAAGGAGAACGGAGGAGGCCTTCCCAGGCCCTGTCACCGTGGGGGAACCGTGACCCCTAGGGGAGCCCCCCGCCCAAGGCCGTGTCCCCAGGGGACCAGACCCCCAAGGGATGAGGTCCCCCCAAAGGAGCAACGTCCCTGAGGGATCCCCCGCAGTGAGCAGAGCCCCCCCAGATGGGCACTGCCCCTAGGGGGCACCAGCACCCCAGGGGAGCTCCCCGCAAGGTCCCCCATGGGACCAGGGCCCCCCAAAACGACCCGAGCCCCTCTCCAACGGATCAGGCCCCGGGCCAATGTCCCCAAGGCCCCCCCTCCAGGGGGCACGAGCCCCCCCCCAGCACCGCCCCTCCCCCGAGGCGCCGCCCCGCGCCGCGCCGCGCGCGCGGCATTGTGGGATGAAACAGGATGTAGGCAGAGCAGCGCGGGCGGACGCGCCGGGGCGGCGGGCCGCGGCGCGGCGCAGCCAATGGAAAAGCGGAGCGCGGGGCGGCGCAGCCAATGGGGGCGCGCCGGGCCGCGCGCCGCAGCGGGCGGGGCGCTATTTGAGCGCGGCGCAGAGCGCGCGGCGCGCTGAGGCGAGCGGCGCGGCGCGGAGCTCGGGGCGCGCTGAGGCGAGCGGCGTCCGGCCTCCTCCGCCCTCCTCCTCATCGTGCGCGGTGACCGCCCGGCGCGGCCCTGTCACTGTGAAGGTGAGCGGCGGGCGGCGCCCGGGACGGGGCGGCGGGCGGCGGAGGGGAGAAAGAAGGACGGGCGGGCGGATGGAGGAGGGTGGGAGGGTGTCCTGGGTGCGGGCGGCTCCGCGCTGCCCGTCCCGCTTGGGGCCCGCCCTGCCCCGGTGCCGCCGCTCCGGGCAAGGTCACGGCCGCCCCGGCTCTCCGGAGCGGCCCCGGTGAAGGTCACGCCTTGGCCTGGGCCGCACATGCGCCTGGCTCCGGGGAGCGGCCCCGCGGAGGGGAGCGGGGCTGCCGGGGGCCGGGCCGGGTTTCGGGGCCCCCCTGCCCTGGTGGGTGCCGGGCTGCGCTTCGTGCCTGTGGGCTCGTCCTGGCGGGGTGGGGCGCGGGCTGACCCCCTGCTTCCTCCCTCCGCAAGGCCCCGTTCTGCCCCGCGTGGGGAGCAGGGGTGGTGTTGGGGCTGTGGGACCCCTCGGCTCGGCCCGGGGCTGCGCTCCTGATGCTGCGGAGCACGTTCTGGGCTCTGCCCTTCCCCCTTGCAGGGCCAGATTTGGGTGCAAGCCCCCACTTCTCGAGGCAGGAGGAGGGACAAAGTGCTGCGGGCCTTGCAGGACAGGGGGAGTGATGCTCCATGTGGGGCTGTGTCAGGGCTGGGGGCTGCTGTGCGAGTCCGTGTAAGGGGCATCATGTGGAGCTGCTCCCCGAGCCCCCCCCACCCCGGCTGCAGGGACCCTCCCTTTCTCCTGCAGCGCAGCTGACAGCCCTGAACGCCGGCCTGCAAAGGCCGCTCTGCTCCAGCGCTTGGGCTACAGCCATGCTGCTGTTTTATTTCTCCAAGGCTGCTGGGCCTTGGTGCTGTGGGCCTGCACTGAAATGCTCCTGACCTAAGCAACAGAGGAGGAAACCTGCAGGAAGTGTTTGCTTGATGGCGGGTTATGTAATAGTGCCCTCTGAACTTGGTGCATCAGGGGCATGTAAAGGCCTGACGTGCTTGAGGCCCCAAAGGCACCTATAGAGAGTTCTTGAAGAAGAGCATCTCTGGGAAAAGTGAACTTCTGCTGCATGCCCAGCTCCTTTTTCTGAAGGAGCATGGTCTGGGTAATGAATTCAAATCCAGAGGCTTTTGATACAGCCTTCCTGAGCTGTGTTTTGCCATGTCAGAGTGGTTTCTAGGCCGTAGGCTAAAACCTGCTGGCTTAAATAACAGCACAGAAGGAAACAAACTGGCTGGAAATGTTTTCCTCAGAGCTGTGATAGGCATGTGTTCCCTGCTGGAGTCTGAGCTCAGGATCTGTCACTCCTCCTGATGTTATTAGTGAGTGCTAATAGTGGTGCTCTATTAAACATTGTATCTAAAATGTATAAATTAAGGTTGCAATTGAAGACTTCAACAGCAGGCAGAGTAAAGAATTGAAGTATTGTAATCATAGGGTTGCAATTATGTAACTGGATTCTCTTTCTCTCTGGTTAGCAGGCTCATTTAATTGCTGTAACAAAGCTACTCCTTCAGTTTTCTGGGACTGTTCCAGGAAGCAATCATTGCAGCAGATTTTTCTCCATTCCCAAGTGGAGCTAAAAATGTGTAGTTTCACTACTTGAAAACATCTTTGGCGTAGCATGGGACCTGCAGCACTGTGGAAGAGTCTAGTAAACTTAATGGTTCCCCCGCAAGCTTAAGGAGAGTCTCTTAGCAGCAAAGAGGCCAATTCCCAGTGCTGCTGAATTCCAGGAAGTTCTGCCAAGGTGATGGGCTGCAGACCTTCGCAGTGTAGGTCTTGCCTGGTTAGTCCCCCAGATAGCCTGGCCCTTGTGTGTGAGTTGGGAGCAATGGGTTGTTCCAGTGCTGGTTTCCTGGTTTCCAGCACCCCTCTTGCTCCTCACCTGCAGAGGGAGAAAAGCCAGGCCAAGGTGTTAGCCTCTTTCTGCCTTCACACCTGCAGTCTGGATTTCCATGCAAACCAGTGGTGAAGGAGGGAATGACAGGCTGGATGTGGATGCACTGTCATTCTAGGCTGAACTACCCACAGTAACTGCGCCCTGGCATGGGCTGACTTACAGCAGTGCTGTTCAGCTTCCTGAGCCTGGGGGCTGCACACGGTGCTCGGGGCTCTCACCTGCAGTGCTCTGAGCAGTCGAGCAGGGTGCACCTGCAAGGAAAACTTGGCTCCAGCTTCTTGATGCACAGGAGGGCTGTGTCTCTGCAGGTCTTTCCTCCTCCCACGCAGGAGGCTCTTTCTGCATGTGTGAAATGCAGGTGGTGCTGCTGACCTGTCTGGTCTAAGCTCCAGGCTGTGCCAATGCTACGGTGTTCCAGCTGCATAGAGAATCCTGGGGGCTGCCCTATAACCTTGCTTGGGCTGCAGTGGGGCTTTGTAGTGTCAGCTTGTGTCATGGCCTGCCATGGAAAGGACAATGTCTGATGTGTTGGAAGACTCTTCTCTTGGAAAGAGATTAAAGGAATCTGTTCTGCCTTAGGTTCACAATGTCTGACAGAAAGGCTGTGATCAAGAATGCGGACATGTCCGAGGACATGCAGCAGGATGCTGTAGACTGTGCTACACAGGCCATGGAGAAGTACAACATAGAAAAGGACATTGCAGCGTACATAAAGAAGGTAACTGGGGAAGGGACTGCTCTGCCTGAGACCCACCAAAGTACTTGTGAGTTTGTGGCTGTCAGGGGTCTGGGTCTATCTGAGGAGCCATACTTCCCTGGTTGGAGGCAGAATACTTTCTTTGCTGCTTTACTCCTATTCCCAAGAACAGAGCTATGCATGTGTGGCGCTCTGTCCTGCTGTGCCCCTGGCAGTAGCGGGTGGGCACAGGGAGGATGGTGTCCTGTGGTGGCTGGCAGGACTCTGTGGAGATGCTGCTTTAAAAGCAGTGCAAGGTGCCCTGACTTGGAAGCTGCTTGTTCACAGGAGGCCACTGGTGTCAGTCACGTGCTTGTTAGTGTCTGGGGTGTTGTCCTTTCTGTGCACTGGCTTCTCTGTGGTCAGGCAGAGTGTTTCTGGGGGAGGAAAATGTGATTATCCAGGTCACAGTCCTGGCACTAGGGCCAGCTTTTAGGTCTTGCTTGTAATCTAAGCTTGAATGCAAAGGATTCAAAGGTGTCTTATAACTTTCCAGATCACTTTGGTCTGATGAGGCAAGATTTCCCTCAAAGTGCTTGGGGCAAGGCAATCTATAATGTGAATGAATGCAGCAAAAGGCTTCTGAAACTTAGGCTTTATTTCCTAAGAATGTGTGTTGGGAGGAGAGATGCAATAATGATGCACCTTCATGCCCTGGCAGGAAGGCTTTTTCTTACTTCAAAGGTTGCTTGCCAAGAGCTTAAACTGTCTTGCTGCTGTCTGAGCACTAACACTTGCTTTAATCTTTGAGTCTGTTCTTCTAGCTGTGTCAGGAGCAGGAAGGGTGTTCTTGGGAGATGCCTATCAATTAGGAAGGAAAATGGTCTTTAACCCTTTTCTTCTCCCTAACAAAAAGTACAAAGTCATTCAGCTTGCTTGCCCTGACCTCTTAGGTCTTTGCATGCTGTCTGGCCTATGAATTTAACTCTGCCTTCTTGCTGCAGACTCTCCCCTTCATGAAGGGGAATCCTGAACACTAGAAGCCATGCTTTTTCCTTTTTTAGGTGACCTTTAAGCTCAAATGCCTTGCTAGAGCAGACATGCCAGAATCTTTTTTTATTTTTTTTTGTGAGTGGGCTTGGAATGGGGAAAGAGAAATGCTCCCTTGAGCTAGCCTACGTGTGTGGCTTGAATAGCACTTTAGCAGGGAGAGCTCTTAAATCTGCTCTTTCTGCCTGAAGCTGGTGTGTGCAGAGTCTTAAGAGATGATTTGCTTGTGGCTGATCACTCAATCCAGCACAGGGGCCTCGCTTGTCTCGGGCAGGACCTCCCTTAATACAATAGCGTCTTGCAATGGGGAATCTAAAGACGCCGCAGGTGGGAGGAGAAGCATTAGTGTATGAACAGAACCAGCTAAGAATCTGTGCTTGAACTATTTTCATGTGGGCTTTGTTGGCCTTAACGCCTCTATTCTCTGTTTCTTCAGGAATTTGACAAGAAATACAACCCAACTTGGCACTGCATTGTTGGCAGAAACTTTGGCAGCTATGTAACACATGAGACAAAGCACTTCATCTATTTTTACTTGGGTCAGGTTGCAATTCTTCTCTTCAAGTCCGGATAGGAAGTAGGAGCAAGTGAAATTTGGACTGTAATGCACTGATGGCTGAAGCCACGACTCCCTTTAACATGGCTATGCCGCTGCATGGACTGTATACTATATTTAATGTGTATATGTTGCAGTAAAAATCTACTTCTGTTTAGTTGCCTGGGAAGAAGGCGGCATTTTTTGTTACTGCTTTTTTTTGGTTGTATTGCACTAGGAAAACCTGTAAATGCTTAAACAACGGCCTTTACGTGGGAAGAAATAAAACTGTTCCACAGCTCCCTCAGTGGTAATTCCTTTTTTGAGGCTGGGAAGACTTCTTTGGGCAGGCCAAAAAGACCCTGACTTCCTTATCAAGTTTTATTAGACTGTTATTCTTGAAATGAGGAGCAATGCCAGTGTGAGCCTCAGGATCCACCCTGCAGACTGTAGAGAGCTGGCTCTCCCAGTAGCCTCAGTGCAGGTACTTAAACCTTCCCTGAAAGTTGGTAGGGTGGCTCTTGGTGATGGGTTTTTCACCCAGAAGTTGAACTCCACCTTGGACTGTCATAGACAGCCTTGCAGCTGGCACCCTCAGAGTTCTCTCTTCAGTGCCCACCACTGTATTTTTGGCTCTGCTGAAACATACTGAGCTAGACTTGTAAGCGACTCAGCCTGGTCTACAGGACTTCAGGTTCAGGCCCCCTTGAGCTGCTGGTTGAGCAGAAAGCAGCCTGCTGGGGCCAAGTCTGTAGACTTGCTGCTGAGATCCAAGGCTGGCCCTGGGGCCCCTCCCCAAGGGACTGGGCTGTGCAGTTGGTGACTCCTGACAACAGCTTTATTTGGCGTATTCGTAGCCGGTTGTCTCAACACTGCCTTAACTCGATGCTCTCCTTAAAGCAAGCTAGTCATATGGAAGACTTGTAAGTGGCCACTGTCTCCTTTTTTATTTTCTGTAGCTCATAAGCTATTTCTGGAGGACTGTCCTCCATGTTCTGATATCTGCTTTTGTTCTTAAAGCACAGTACCAAGTTTAATTTACATGTGATGTTTGTGTGAAAGAAACTCATGTGACATCTGCTTCAGAGGCAGAGAAAATGTCTTGGTCTCCAATAGGTTCAGCAGTGATGTTGTCTCAGTATGTACTGATTCTTGGATTAAACTGCAGGAAGCTTTTTATTTTTTCTGGGTAGGGGAAATCCTGAAGGACAAACAAAAGCTGTGTGATGGTTAAGTAAATACTTGGTGCTTGCAGCGAGGTCTATTTATTGGTTTGTTGACTAATACATAGACAATCATTGGGCTAGTGAGCGTGGCTCACGGCTCTGGGGTGCTGTTGGTAACAAGCCATTGCTTTTACCCACTGTGGGGTGGGGAAGGGCACAGTGAGGGAGCTACTCCTTGAGAAATAATGACCCAGGTTGACACTTCCTGAAGTAAAAGTCTTTGTCTCTGTGCAAAATCCAAAGTATGCCTAATTTTTGTAATATTGATAGAATCATGTTGTATCTAGAAAGAATGTAGCTGTCATGACTTCATGTTGATGGAAATGTCTGCACTGGGGGTAATGTGCCTTGGACTGTCAGGGCACCCTTGTGGTCTTGTCTATTCAGAACTCCACTCTTGAGCTGAAAGGAGAATGTTTTGTTCTGTTTCTTTCTTTCAAGCATGAGTCTAATGTGAACCTGTTCAGTCTGTTGTGGAGCAAGATATGTTCCCTTCATAACTGCAATGGCTCAAATACCATTTATTTTTTTCAAACATTAAAGGTGAATTGACACATTTCAACAGCCTCTAGTTTCTTCATTGCTAGCTGTCTGAAGCAAAAAATCATGTTTGTGTGGAATAAGAGCTGAGTTCTGTGGCCTGGAAGATGACCCTCAGGTTGCAGGTTCATGGGAGAGAAACTCAATGTGAGCAGCAACGTCCCCTCTGCTGGTGCTGCCTCCAGCTTGGCTCAAACGGCAGCCCGAATGAAGGGTCCTGGAGTAAGTGGTGTCCGACTGCAGCTGCACCAGGGTGCTCTTGTGCTGAGGATCGTAGATATAAAGGTATTGGGACCAGCCTCTTCATGACTTCAGAACTTGTTATAGCGGCTAAGTTCCTGGCTCCTTTATGTGCTCAAAGGTCTTTCCCGCTTTGTGGGGGAGTAGATTGTCCCTTGGTGCTTCCTCCCTGAGCCTGGTAAACAAGGTGAGATCTGAAATGGTTCCTAGTTGCCTGGAGCTCATGTGTTTAGCCCCACAGCTCCCCAGGAGTGGTGGGCTTGCCCCTAGACCACCTCCCTTGGTCTCTAGCTTGTACAATAACTTCTCTGGGCCTTGTAGCCCCTGCAAGTTTGGGGAAAGCTGCTCTGGACTCTTCTCTATTGCAGAGTACAACCGTGCTGCAGGGCAGTAGCATCTCAGAGGAAATAAGAGGGAACTGAGGTGTAGCCAAAAGTGCAAGAGTATCAAGTACTTGTAAATGGGGCTGACTCCCAGAGCAGTAGTACTATGGCTGCTGCTTGCAGCCGGTCTAGATTGCACCTTATGCTGCTGAAAAGCAGAGGTGGTTTCTACTTTGGGAGGAGCAGGGAGTGACACTCCTCCTCCCCAGACAGTGCCAGCAAACCTCACGCTCGCAAGCATACTCGTGTGGCTTAGGATCCGCCAGGCTGCATGGAGGCGCGGCATTCCTGGCGTGGCCAGGGCTGATTTCATGCTGCTGCTCCTAGGAAACATTTGCAGCACCCTGTCTGGAGTAGTTAAGCCTTCCTAGTGTGTAGTGGTCCTGGTCAAAGCAGGCGATATAAACTGGCTCACAGATGTCAGCTGGAGTGCAAGGGGCTGCTGATGCAAATTTGAGACAAACCTCTTCGTCTATTAGTTGTGCCTGTTGACAACCACCCATTTTAATCGTATATAATTGTATCTAGCGCTTGTAGTGCTGGTGTGAATCCATCTGGAGCAGGGAGCCGAGGACCTGCTGGTGGCTGGCGGGAGTGTGTTCCCTGGAACCATTTCAGGCAAGTGGAAAGTGGGTCTGTTGCTCCTGCATGCGTCACTGCACCAGCAGCGCCTGCTCTGGGCTGAGGGCAGAGGCCTCGAGCTCGCGCCTTTAGCAATTAGGCAGTGAAACTGAGCCCTGCTCACCTGCCTGTAACCCGTGCAATGGACACCGGCCCTTTGTGTCCTCAGCCCTCCTTATGAATGATTTATTGTGCAGCTCTGGGGGCTGCAAGCGGCCTAAAGCCAAGCGTGGTTCTCGAGCAGGGTGAGGCTCTGCGCGGAGCGCTCTGTCCTTCCCAGCACGCTGCCCAGCAGCTGCCTGACAGCTTCTGGCTTTGCCTTTTTCCATTGTGGGGCTCTGCTTTTGTCTCCAATTTCCACCACAGGCAGGTGTTCTGCATTAGGACTTGGAGCGTTAACTGTTCCTCTGCTGAGGAGGTTCAAGTCCCTGGGACTCCTGCTCAGCTTCACTGCAAGAATGAAACTATTTTGAAACATCTGGGCCTGGCATGCTGAATGGAAGGTATGTATCTGTGGGTGAAACAGCTGGAGAAAGAAACTGCTTCCAGATGTCTTCAGGCAAAAGTGCTATTTAAATGCAAATTCCATGTACTGTTACTGTCCTGTTTTACCAGCATTCTGAAAGCGTTTAATTGGAGCAAAGTCCAAGACAGCGGCTGCTGTTTGTGAATAGGGCTTTAAATGCACGGCAGTGTTTAGTGCTGTGTGTGTGTTCATCTGCTACACTAAACAGTGTGGCTCATTACTGGGGGAGGAATATTGCATGATTTTCTCTTTTATAGGCAAAGTAATTCAATTTTCCATGTAGAATATTTCTTCCAGATGTGCCATGACAAAAGCAAAGGTGTATGAAACTGCGGAGCACGTAGGCTGCTTTCGGTAGCTTTGTTCCACGTGTGTAATTATTCGTCATTATCAAGGGTTGCCTCTAACGAGGAGGGAGCGCAGGGGGAGATGACGTTTGTTTATTTGCTGCCTTGCTCCCTGCATCACTTCCACCGGGTTATTTCCCCCTGTGGCTTAGGGGAGGGACGCAGGGGCTGCTGAATGTGGGCTGGGGAGTACTAGGGCTTCGTGTCGGGGCTCCCTCCTCCTTCTGTGCAGCAAGGCAGCTGTGTGACACCCTTTTCCAGCGTCCGTTCTTTTCCAAGCTTGAGGAATTCGCCTCCGAGTGCTCCTTCCTGTGCCCAAAGAATGTGCTGCTTCTCGTGGCCTTTTTTTGGGAGACTGGAGATGAAAAGAGGAAACATGGGAAGCATTTTTATCCAGCTTTCAGTCTCTGACCGGGACTGGTGTTGCTGCCCACATGAGGCTTCCCTGGGTTTTGCTCTATTTATTGAGCGGTGCTTCTGACACCTTTCCCCAGACTGTGACTCATGGCAACGCTGTCCATGTATGAGCCGTGGCTCTCAGAGCACTTTATAGAGTGGCAGAGGAGCCAACTGTGTTTATAAAAAGATGATCAGATGTTTCCTCCCTCAGGGCAGTGTCTAGCTGAGTAATAACTCATAACCAACGGGACAAATAGCTGCTGCTCATCAGCTCAGCGGCTTCAGCAGCCCGCGCTGCGCGGGGTCCCGCATTCCATGCGTATCCGTGAACACCGGGGCCTCGGGAGGGCTCTGGGCTCGAGCACAGGCAGGGAGCTCCTCCACAAGCCCCTCTGCGGGGCAGAGCACGGCAGCGGTGCTGCCTCTTGCTGTGCTGAGGAGCTCTGGGTTTCCTCAGCACAGAGAAATGGTGCATTAGGGAGCGGAGGGGGCACAGGGATTGCTGTAAAAGCAGAACAGTCTATGCTGCATCCTAAAACGTCCATCAAGCCCTCATCAACCTGTGTCCGACTTGCCCTAGGCAGCCTCCAGATGGGTTTTGCTTGCATTTTTTAAGCACTGAGCTTTCCCCTTTGTGTGTTGAAGTGCTGCAGCCTCTTGCTTGGCAGGTGCAGCCCGGGAAGGAGCATTCTGTGCTCTCCTGGAACCTGCTGTGACTGGGACTTGCTGGGCTCCCACTCTGCTCCCTGGCCCTTCTCTTGCCAGAATGTCGGCATCCTACCTTGGTAGGCGCAACGCCAAGCTCTGCTCTGCTGCCCGACAGGATTTGGCCCTGGATTAACTTTAAGGGGTTTTACCAAGCCCTGACAACTCATTTATCCTTTCCCATGGCTGGAGCTCCTTTTAGTGTTTTTGTGCTCCTTGTCTCTTTGTCCTTACAGCAAAGACTCCAGCTGCAGCTCGGAGGGCGGCTCAGGCTCCCTGGCTCCTGGTGAGCAGGAGTTACGGGAGCATTCCCAGCTATCCCGGGCGAGGGGGGTCCTCGCACCCGAACATGCACGCGGCCTTTCCCTCTCCTTCCCGCGGCTGTGAATGAAGCGCTTCCAGTGGGAGGAGGTGGCTGGGAGCCATTCTCTCACCTCGCGTTGGTTACAGCCTGTAAAAACATCCAAGGAATTTGCCACCGCGGTCCCTTGCTCCCGTTCAGCTTCAAAGCTGACCTTTGTTTGCGGGGCCGGGCTCTGCAGAGCCGCCGGGAGCTCCCGCAAGCGCCTTGGGCACGGAGCTGCCACGGCCACCCGCTCAGGCTGCACCGTGAGGAACGCTCTTGCACTGTCAAAGCCCAGCACCTGGAGCACCGTGACCCCCAGAATGCCAGGGCAGTAAACGGAGCTTGCTCACTTAGTGCAGCGTGACGCGCAGCGTGCACCGGAGCGGGAGCCCGGGCTTGCGGGACTGGAAATGGCTCCATGCGCAGGTACGTGTCCGAGTGGCCTCTCCGCGGGAGCTGCGGCCGTCGCGCGGATCCCAGACACCTCGGAGGCAGGAAAGGCACCGGGCTGCCAAGCAGCAGCTGCCCGCGGGATCCGCCTGCGCGAGCGGCTGGCACCCGGCCCGCGGTGCCGCACGGGAAAAACACACACGCATTTCCCGCTGCAAGGAAAGCCCCAAGCCCTTCCATGAGGATGAAAACGCCCAAATCCATGCTTTTTATGTCCTCTTTGCTCGGAGGGACAAATACGACCAAACAGAAGGTGCCTGGCCTGCTCTGCTCCTCTGTGGCCTGTTGACGGGATGCAGAGGGTGAGTTTGGACCCACAGGGCCTCAGCTACAAAATGCCCCCTCTGAAGCACAGCCCTGGGGGTCCTCCCTGCCCCATCACCTGCGTGGCCAGGGGTGACTCAGCAGGGACCGGCCGCTCGGCCGGCGCTTTGGCAGCTCCGCGGGGCCCGGGGCAGGATGGACACACAATCCATACAGCCTGCGATGCCTTCAGGTACTGCGCTAATAAATAATTTATAGGAAATCATTATGCAGTTAAATCTGGCAGATCTCTCACATAAAGAGCAGCTTGAAGCCTCTGCAGTAAACAGGGCAACGCTTCCCGTTCCTTTTGGATGTCGTCTTGGAATCTAACTCTAAACCTTACTTCAGAATAACTATAATTATCTCTAATTGCCATTATTGTTTAACATTTTTAGCATTTGCAAGTGCAAACTGTTAGTTTTCCATGCAGATACAATCAGCAGCCAGAGTTCACAGTGAAAGCAATTAAAATCCGGTGATTATTACAAGCCTACATGTCTATACAACAGCTTCAATCTGCATAACTTGCCAAGATGTAGGCTAGAAACTCGGACAAATTTAGCATTTATTTAGTAACCCAG